GCAGCGCCGTGTAGATCGATGAGCAGAATATTTTAGCTGGCTCTCTTCAGCACAAAACCTCCCTACATTCGGTTCAACTGTGCAAATACTGCTAGTTGACCCGAGAAATAAACTATCCCAAAAAGTATAAGGCTTCCGGCCCCGGCAGGCTGACCCCATAGGTTTTTAAAGATGAAGGTTTAGCCTTGGTTTTGGAGTTAACAAAACTCCTGGGCTCAGTGTGGGAAAGGGAACAGGTTCCAATTGAATGGTGTGAATCGGTGATCATATCGATTTACAAGGAGGGCGACAGATCCTCTTGTGAAAACCACAGGAATTAGTTTAATTAACATTGCCTCTAAACTTGTCGCCGGGATCATACTCCGTCGATTGTCTGCCGCTCGTGAAGAGTGCACACGTGAGAACCAGGCTTGTTTTAGACCTGGTCGAGGTTGTATCGACCACATCTTTACTCTTCGTCAAATCCTAGAACACAGACATTCTTTTCGTAGACCCACCATTTCTATCTTCCTCGAACTAAAAGCGGCCGTCGACTCAGTCGATCGCTCGAAACTCTGGCGCTGCCTTTCCCTGAAGGGTGTGCCCGTGAAGTTTATTTCAATATCACGATCGCTTTATACTAATAGCTTAAGTTGAGTCCGGGCTTACGGCACGTTTTCGCCCAAGTTCACTACAGAGTGGTGTTCGACAGGGTTATCCTCTCTCTCTCCGTTTCTATTTAACTTTGTCATAGATTTCGGGAAACAGCCCTATCTTCGTGCGAGGATAGTGGCATCGATTTACTCCCGGGTGACAGACGACTGTCTGATCTAGAGTATGCAGACGACATTGTGCTACTAGGTGAAGATCCAGGTAAATTGCAAGCTTTTCTGAGTAGTTTGAGTACTAGTGTAGCCATGTCTGGTATGCGTTTTGCACCGTCAAAGTGTAAAATGCTGCTCCAAGACTGGGTTGGCCCAGTCCCCAACCTCACCCTCACCGGTTAAGTTGTAGAGAAAGTAGACAAGTTTTGCTATCTAGGTAGCTATATCTCATCTGGCGGAGGCATCACAGATGAAGCATCGGCGCGCATACAAAAGACTCAGTTAGCATTTGCTAACTTGAGACATCTGTGGCGTCGTCGCGACAACCGGCTCTCTGTGAAGAGTCGAGTATATGCTACTGCAGTTCGGCCAGTTCTGCTTTACGATGCAGAGAATTGGCCATTGCGGGAACAGGATAAAGTAGATTGTCGGTTTTCGAGCACCACTGTCTACGTAGCATTGCACGAATCTTGTGGGGGAAACCGGACGAACAATGCTGAGGTTAGGTGTAGAGTTCTAGGTACTCGCGGTCGTCCGCTGGAGCAGGTAGTCGACTTCTACAGATTACGCTGGTTGGGACATGTGCTACGCATGCCACCAAATAGGTTGCCACGGTGAGCGATGTTTGCCGAGGCAGATAGCGGTTAGAAAAAGATCACGGGTGGTCAAACTAAGACCTAGCATGAGGGTATGAAAACCCAGACAAGGAGACTGGCTTACATAGGTCCCGTTAGGCTCTCGGGATGGGGACACCGAGTTCTTGGTCACCAATGGTTAGAGACACTGAGCAATATGGCTGGGTGTCACAAACAGTGGCACTCATACATCTCATCATTCTTGTAACTTCAGCCTATGTATATGCGCTATCTTCCGCTTGAATCTACTGTCAACATTCTAATCTTCATTCTGCTTTTTTATCCAGATGGGCAACCAAAACCGGTGCAGGGAAGTGCATGGTTAATGGTTGTAAGAACTAAACTGAACTGAACTGAACTGTAGCTGCTCCGGGTTAGATGAAGCCCTGTAGACGTCAACATGTGACGTTGCGACGGGGCATGAAGAAATGCATATAGCTGTTAGGTAGAGGTGTTTCCGGTCTTCCAGGTTGGGGTCCGAAAGATTCCGCAACTGATTGATTGGAGCCGACAGCAGTAATGCTCTTGTCATTTCTAATCGGACCAGAATGCTTAAAACGGTTTGTACGCACAGTTAAATTGTGTTCACCTCCCCCTCCCTTAAAATAAGTTCAATCCTTGCCCACCATACAAATTACCACTAACCTTGAATACTTTGCAAGTCTGGCGGCAATCAGTAAAGTCTGTTTCACTGTATTTCGCTGTACGATGTTGATGTCTGCATAACGCTGGTGGAGTCTATTTACACAGTATGTTTCGTTGCTTCGTCACCAACGCCAGTACGGGCGTTCCACTTTGGGATTCTACTGGCCGCTTCGTGTATACTGTATAGTTTGTTTTTAACGCCCTCTTCAATGGATAAAATTAAAATCTTGTGATTGCGAACATATAGTACGTGGAATCAAGTGAAATGAGAGCTTTACTGACTTAGCTGGTAATCGCAAATGTTACACCATGTTGTGGTGAGTTTCTTTCACTTTTGCTATCGAAAAGTCAGAACGAGGGATCCATTCCTGGTACGGCTATTCGTCGAGGCCCTTTGTGGAGCCATCATGACGAGACTGCACCTTGACGTGGTGTGATGGCTTGTGCACCTCTCTGACCCAAGGAGCTACACAGAATGGCTTTCGTCAAGCCGAAGATCTAATCATGCTCAGGAGGTAGAATGGTAGAGGTCGGACAAAGTCCAGTCTCCTAGTCCTCCAGGTTGGGGGTTCGACTAGAATTTGCATTTCAGCCGGTGAGAAATGGTGGAGAAGTAATTGATCCAAGTAAGTGGGCCTCCAATTCGCTTCACCCACTGCCTTGCGGCTAGGTTCTTGTCAAAACTAAAAGCTTTGGTTGAGAGCCCTAATCGTTTTCCTGCTTAGTAGCTGGACGCCCTAGCAGTACCCGCCCATCAAACCCCAATGCTTATGCATCGCGAGTTTGGCAGCGATCAGTGAAGTTCGCATCTCTGTATTTCGCTGTACGATGATGATGATGGTGGTTGAGTAGTCGTGCTTCCGACAAACATGTTATGTGTACTTTGTAGTCTTGGAGAGCACACATGGCAATAAACTAGCTGTCTGGATCTAAAAGTCTTGATATTCTAGCAGTCAGCTAGTAGTCTTTTTCTGAGTTCAGTAGCTAGCTCACTTTTCGCCCTGATCACTGAGCGAACACATTGCACATTGCTGACCAGGGGCGTGGTTGTTTCAACAGAATTCTTTAAGTTTCATGGAAATTCGACGCAATCGATGTCCGCAGTATCGCTCGTTTTTTATTCTAGGTTGCGCTCATCTTCTTTGCACAAACAAACGTGACTACCTTCTAGGTATCAGTCCCTTTGTGGATTGTTAGAAGAAGCCGCTACACTAGCAGGCAAACTGGTCCACGGACGGAAGCCACCATTACTGAAACCACCAAAAAACGGAAGCCTATATTTGTCCTCTGGTTTAAATTTGAATTTATGAGGCAGCAAATTTTTCGCATTGATGCGCTTGGACTCAGATTACCTTTCTGGTCGTTGAATCAAAGATATTATCTCGTCTGTCCAGTTTGCCGTAACTGTTTCACATGCACGGTAGAAGCCGCATTCCATCCGGCTACCTTCATTTGGTTTAACCCGCCTGTCAAGTGTTTGCCGAGTGGCGGCTGAAACGACATGAAGATGATATTATGAAACCGCAAGTAAGATTCCGGTAACTGATATGGACCAAGGAAAGGAACTGCTCTACCGGACTGACAGGGTCCTGAACCAGAGGTACTACCAAGACCGGAAAACCTAACAGCTGCCATAAGCAGACCTTCGTTATCGAAGTACAGTATCGATGCATACCGAGTTCCAGCGTATAACTAGATTTCGCTGGGAAGTTAAGCTCCTATTTGGGCGCAAATTTATTGACAACGGTGACATAGATCTTCTCCGTGGCAACACAGACAATGAAACACGGTTCAGATTTCCCATTGCACAGCCTAGTGTGATGAAGAAAGAGAGAACCCCATGGTGCCTCGGGTCGCGTATTGGCACCGGCAGCCGAAGATCCAGGATTTGAAGTTGTTAATAAAATACAAACCTTATTTGGATAGGTGTCCTATTGAGCCAATGGAGAATGAAGCTGCCTAACACTGAAGTTAGGTGATAGTACTTCAAATTACTACTACCACCACCAGATGTTACTTGACAAACGAAACACCCTGTATCCATCTGAATGTAAAGTGTTTCTGAATTTGTCAGTATACTGTGCTTAAATTGATGAAGACTCATTCTCAAAGTTGCAAAATATTGGGCGGGATGATTGAAAACTAAGGTATTTTGCTTAGCTTATACCAAACTCGTGTTTGATAGCTTGACGCAGATATAGCGCCTCTATGATTTCCGACTCTTTCTGACGTGAAATCGATAGAACCTTTTCCGCTATTTACTTATGTTTTTAGTCGTTAAATCCCAAGTCTTAGTTGCAAGATACAGCTTCGTCACAATCTTCCACTAAGCAATCCAATGCTACACTTCCAATCGTTTGTCACACCATTTTCAGCATCATTTTTGCTGCCTGAGATCTGTTTACCAAGACATTTCTATATTTTATTCTACCCCTGAATTTTTGCAATTACTCTTCCAACTATTTGCCTTAAACCCACAGGCCTTACTTCAATCCCAGCGACGAGCGTTAAATGCCGGTTCACATGCTGCCGGAGAACATATCACATTCCTTAGTAGTGGCCGACCGGAAGAGGATCAGGTCACGAATATGGTTGTTGCTACCTTTCTACGGCTAAATATTCCATACGTCAGCCTGGTCCAAGGCGGTTATACAGCACTGCACGAAACACTTGGACCTCAGCAGATAAGTCGCAGTTTGGTCAGTCACAATCCAAACGTGTGCATCAGCTGTCAAACTCAGTCATCTGAAACAAACAATTTGGCGACGACTTCACTGAAGTCCGGTACAATTTCTGCGGGAAAAAATCCATCTGTTTCACGACCAACAAACCCCCCCGTATCTACAGCTAAAACAACCGGAGGGTTGTTTTCCAAAATATCTGGAACACTTTTTAAAGGTGCAGTTGGTTATCAGAAAACCCCCGTCTCTGCCGGAAAAGCGGATCACGCTACTGGAACGAATCGTACACAGAAAACACTCCAGTCGACGCCCTCGCAGTCTTCGGTTCGACTGGAGGGTCAATCGACTGGAGCATTGGTTAAGCAATCACAGACAAATAATGAACATCCCGCTTCCTACAGAAACACCGCATCTGTTTTCAGTATAGATGAAGATGAGGATATCGATGAAGATTTTACCCCACCCGGAAACGAGTCGAGTTCGTTTTCTTCTGGAATGGATGGAGCTGCAGAATCTGCGGAATCACCCACTCGAACGGAACAAGGTCCCAAAGCTACTTCATGGCTTAAGCGTCTAACCGCTGCAATCCATGTGAGCGAAAGTGAAAGTTTACCACCAGGAGATATTCCCACGCGTCCGGGCGGTTTGGATAGTAGCGAACCGGGTGACTTGATCGACACTACTCAATGGTCAAGACGTTCAGAGTTACATGGTGTATTCGACTGTCAGTTCATTGATTCTCGGGGCCGCCTGGCTGAGGTTGGGTACCTGATCCTGGCGGAGCGGCATCTCCTTGTCCTGCGTGACCATACACCTCGATCTCCTGCGCGTTTCATCGCCTCCATTGGATCTGTGGTTCAGTCCGCTTTTGGGCGGACGTCGGATTCGGGTGAAGGCACAACGCGGATTAGCGCGCGGTCACGTCATGCCGTTTTGTTACGCTCAGCTCCCCTTGCCTTGATCAGTCGGATCACGGCAAACCGACGTCTGCCTGAGTGTATTACATTCCACTATTCCGGCAAAGATCCGACGGATTTGCTTCAACTCAATGAACCAGCGATGGGTCTTAGAGACAGATTGTACTTGCCGCAGGCGGGTGAAGCCGTTCGAATGATCAAATTGGCCATTTGCCACCTGACCATGGCTTAAGATCCATCAATCACCGTTACAACTTACTGCATGTCCATGGAACGGAACGCACACATGCCGCTCGGGCTTCACGTAAACAATTCTGCTTAAATCGTTTTCTCTTTGTACATGTCTTTCGGTGACATTTTTATTCATTTAACATGAGTCTTCAACGTTGTTTCTGCTAGCATAAGAAAATTTACGAAGAATATCATTATTCCGACTTCTCGTGTTCATCACTGTCACCCCTTATGTATCATTTTGGTTATGTGCACAAATTTTCAAAGACGCGTCCGTGCCATATACCTTGAAATTATTGATGATTCACGCGCGATCGCTCCCCTATTGGTGATTTGTTGATCCTCGCGTTTCCTGTTCATTTTGAGCGTGTCTTCGCTTTTTGTCTTTCATGATAACTTCCCGTAACGTACTCTATAAGGAATCTTGTCCGTCATCCATTTGGGATCGGAGTTTGTCAAGTAAAGGAGTAATTTTTGACGTCTGTCTGTCGGACGGTTTGTCGTGATAGTGTTTTTTCCTCATAATCTAGAAGGCAACAAAACATCGATTCTAGAAGGTCTCATGTTATCTATTTACCGGTTCACTAGTAAGTGTAAACTGTTTTTTTGGTGATGAAATTTACAAATAGGCACCACACACGGCCTTTGTCCGAAACCAGATGAGTCTTGCGAAATATAAATGAAAAATAATAGCTACATAGTTGTAAAGATTCTAATTAATACAGGTGAGCGGCTTAGAGGTGCTTATTTATTTAATATCAGGTACATCTCCAGGTCGCGGATCAGAGGGAGACCATTTCGAAAATTTGTGGTGAATCGGTGGACACGGGGCGATTAGCGGCGTCCTTTGATGATATTTCGAGCATTTACTTGACGGACGATATCCATAACACGGTATGGCAGGTTTATGGTGAGCAGTGNGCGTGCTAGTTTGGTCTACCATAAAACAGCAATCTCCATCACCTTGTTTCTCCACCAGCGGGACTTAACTATGTAAGTCCTAGATTTTCACCCATGACCGGGACAGTCTGAGATGCTTGAAGTAAACTGAGAACCTAAAGAAGCTCCTTCTGATGAATTTTAAGTAGATTTCCATGGGACCAATCATGTTTTTTCCTCTTTTATTTCTTTAATTTAATACACTATGATCCAATTTTCATGAAAGGGGAAGTAGACAGTCAAAAGGCTTCCATACAACACAATGGGGGAAAATCAGGCGGTAGTGGTGGGATTCGAACACACGTCCCCCCAGGTGATAATTCGTCGACGATGATTTTGGTTAAATATTACCTCAATCGACCGTAACCATGTCGGTCAGAGGTGTGCGTGTTTAGGCCAAACGTCCGAACCCATAAAATGAGTCCAATTTCAGCCGCAGGAGTTCGCTTAGCATGCATGTGAAAACAGATTCACGCAGCCAAGCTACGCATTTGTGGTCGCGATGAATTGGGTGCTGATCTGCCAATAGATGTGTATCAGATTTCGAGTAGCGGTTCTCACAGGGCTCTTTAGACGTCTTGATCACTGCGAATTGCTCAAAGCAATAAACAAAAAGAAACTATCGTTTCGAATCACGACGTGAACGAGGATTCAGGAGTGACCAGAGCGTGTTATGTTACTTGAATCTGATTCATACTACCATTGGTTTTTTGGTCACATCGTGTGAATAATCATTTACATTTTCCCTAATCACTTCATGTTGAGACCGGTCATAAAAGTTGATATTTCAGCTACGCGCAAATCTTATTATGAATCATGACTGTGGATCTTACCCATAAAACTTGGTCTAAAGTGTGGTTTTTTGTTCTGTTGCACAAACTCATCTCTGTAATTTTATCCCTGGTTCTATTTATCCTCTGGGGAACATTTATCTGCTTGTTAAATATTGTCAGAAAATGCGAAGCACTATCGCTTTTCGCTTGTAATGCTCAATACTGTTGTCCTTTGAGAAATGTACGGACGCTGTTGGTACTAATTGAGCAAGAGTTTGCGTTACAATTCGAAAGAATTAATATAATGTGAAATGCTACTCGTATCAATCCAGTATGTGCATGACAACTATGCTATGATTGTATAGCAGGTCAGCATACTTAGGCCATCATATCCTACATTTTTCAATAGTGTCTTATTTTCCCTTTTACGGTGACTTGCTGAATATAAAAGCATGGTTACCGCACTGTTTTCCACCGGTGCGAATTCAAATTCCACTTTCAAAGAGAGGGAAGTTGATAACTTTGGTTGTATTACCATTTATACAATCTCCATTTAAATTATAGTTTACAAAGCGTCAAATGACTCCGTCATATTAAATACAATAAACGAAAAGTGAGATAGTCAAATAGGGGTTCGGGTCCAAGGTTGAGACGATCTCATCGGATACGGAACAGATGAGTTTCTGTACAGCCTAATGGGCACTATAATTTTCCAACTTCAAATAAATCTGTCATCTCATTAAATTAAGTAAACCAATCGGATTCTACTAGGGTCCCCACAGAGAGATTGGTATTTCGACCATCAAAGCCGGTCTAGTCCAAGTGAATTGATTTCTGTATTGACGAACAGAAGCATTCATGAGTGATTTACTAATTGTTCTGTCTTGCCAAGAGTTATGATCGATCAGAGCGCCTCTTGACTAGCCCTCAACAATGATACGGAGAGAAAACGACAGCCAATGTGTTATTGATCGTGAGGCAATAGACAAATATATGCGGTAAATTGGGCGTACGAGAACGACATGATGCACCAATCAGATCGCGCCATTAATACATTACCCGGGGTACAGCAGAGCTGAATGCTACCAGGCGCGTCCCCGGGTTGTGGATAGGGGGATACCTTCACCGAAGAAGGTTAGCTGCGAATAAGTTGTGGTATACCGCAACAAATAAGCAGTCGGGAACAAACAGCGGCGGCATTATCAGGGTGTGGTGGGTTTCAGGCTGGTCACCTGGCTCCTGTCTAAAAGCCACATAAGCTCAATGACGGTGTCGTAACAAAGGTCGATGTGACTGGCCTTTTAAAACTAAAGTCATTGACCCCCTCACTTCGGAGCTGAGGGTTTACTTCCTGCTGCCTTGCATTTCGCACTTGGTTGTGCAAAGGCTAGAGGTGCACCCTTAAAATAAAAACGCCGAGTGACGCTGGGGACGTTTCTCGTACCGAACTCCCGACTACCTTCATGATAATGTCTGCAAGCTTCATTACCCATGCTACGGCGTCCCCGGTAAGCGACGCGCTCCTCCAGTGGCTGGGGTGTCAAGAACGCGAATTGGACCTCCTCAACCTCTCCAGCTTAGAAAGCACCTTTACGTGGGATGCTGGAACGTCAGGACCCTCCTAGACNTCCTAGACATTGGGAGTCAGGTAATGACTATGCGCACTTCACACGACTACCGCGTAGATGTTGCATGCTTATCCGAAGTACGACTAGCTGGCTCCGGCTCACGCAGCATCAAGGTTCCCGGTTCTGATAGCCACCACTATTTTTACCATAGTGGCTCGGTCATCAGGGAGTGGCGTTAGCGCTGAGCCAGCGCGCCAACGCTGCCTTACTCTCTTGGGAGCCAATATCGTCAAGGATCGCTATGGCTCGCTTCAGAGGTAATCCCACCAACCTCACCGTTGTAGCAGTCTACGCCCCCACTCTACCATCCGACAGCATAGCGAAGGATAAGTTCTACGACAGTCTCCAGGAGGTAGTAAATCGCATCCACAACAGAGATGTACGTATCGTGGCCGTAGACTGGAGTGCTCGAACGGGTGAACAAGAACCTTCAACTAAACATATAATTGGAAAATTTGGATTCAGCCATCGCTGCGAAAACGGTGACAGGCTAATTAATCTCTCCGATTTCAATCGGCTATCTATAACCAACACGTGTTTTCAGCACACCAGGAAGCACCTTCTTATCTGGTACTCCAATGACGGTATAACAGCCCACCAGATCGACTATATCTTGATACGATGACACTGGATCTCATCAGTGGAAGACTGTAGATCGTATCGCGGTGCCGAAGCGGGCAAGAGAGATGGCTCTGATCACATGCTGGTTCGTGCGAAACTTCGCCTTCGGCTGACTACTCGTATCAAGATCACCCCTCTAAGTCGCATCAACGTGGGCCCATTAGAGTGTTGCGAGAAATCAAAAACACTGATGGATGAACTTGAAACCCAACTTGCAAATGAGTCTGCCCCATCGGTCATCGTAGCAGACTCCACTGATGTGCAGTGGTCCAGGATAAGAGCTGCAGTACAACAAGCTGCACCAAACAAACTTGGTACCACNCACGAAACGCTGCTACAAAGATTTGATATCAGAGGAAACCATCCGTCACTCAACCCTGGCCCGGAACGCCCGTCTAGCTGGCCACCACGACTACCAGCGACTGAGACGCGAAGCAACCCGCTTCACAAAAGCAGATGGGCGCAGCTACTGGAACGAAATAGCGATCAAGATGGAAACCGCAGCTAGCGCATGTCACTTCGGAGATCTCTTTTGCCTCATAAGATCAGCGTCCGGTAGAAAGCAATCTTTACAACCGGTTCTGCGCGACTCCTCCGGGGGACTGATCTCCGATATCGACGGTAGAATGACCAGATGGGTAGAACATTTTAGTCGGCCTCTCAGTCATCCGCTGAGCAACTCGGCGGATATTCATCCCAGTATGGCGTCCCCATACGAGGTCGACTATGAACTCCCAACGATAGAAGAAATTACCGCAGTGATCGGTCGCTTGAAGTCTGGTGAAGACGGAATCCTGGCAAAAATATACAAGAAATGCCTTCCGGTGGTCTTCAAACCGCTTCACTCTCTCTTTCGCTTTATTTGGGAGACCGAAACATGTCCAACTGATTGGAACACCTCGGTTTTGCTTCCGTTCCCCAAGAAGGGCGACAAGACACTGCGAGAATTATCGGGGCACCAGCCTGCTAGATGTGGCTGCAAAAGCGTTTGCCCAGCTTGTGCTTAATCGATTTACTACAGTGAGGTATTCACGTACGCG